AGTGGCCATACATCCCAAAGCCCTCCTTATAGCACCACTCCCTTAGCCAACTGTTTATTCTCACAATCCTATCAGCCCTTTGCTGCCCTTCCCTAGGAACAGGCAGAATCCCACTAAAGATAATCTGAGCCTCTTCTCCTTGAGCGTCTTCCCCAGCCTGGCATAATCTCCCTTGATTCTCTCTAACGAGAACCTAGCCGTGTCATTCATTCCTACATGAAGGATTATCAAGGGGTTCTTACCTGCTCCTTTTAGGATCCTTTTTAACCGCAGGTCCACATCGCGAATCTTTGCGCCCGGTAGACAGCACACCCTTCTGTTCTCTGGGTCCGCCCTGGTCACAGGCCTGTCCAATCTCCTCAGTAAAGAGTCTCCAATAACATATACCTGTCGTCGCCTGGCAACAGTGCGATCTAGTAATCTAGTCTCTGATCCCTCTAGTCCTGACCTGTGTCTGTTCCTATCTTCTCTTATGCTCCCCCTTGTGCCTTCCTCTATCCTCTGGGGGCCCAGGTCTTGTGCTGTCTCCATCAACACCTCCCCTCTCTCTATTGGACTAGCCGCTCTTCTCTTCTTCCTCACCCTCCCACCTTCCGTCACCACCTGCTGCCCCTCCACCTCGTTATCCAAACACCCAAACCTGTTCCTGAGTTCTATTCCCCCCTCACTGGCCCTCCTTTTCCTTGGCCTGCTTCTCACAGTCACAATCTGCTTGTGAGCCACCTAATGTGGAATGGATATGTACAATCACTTGAACTAAAAATGGTTACCTGCCTTTCCATAACTGTTGTTTTTTGGGATGGCATTCCGCAAGGAATTGAGGGGCATTGGGGGTAGCTGCACCTTATTGCACCTTATCAGAAGGAGGCTTTCTTCGGACAACTAACTGAGGTTTCCAGATCACAGCCTTGGTTCTAATGTGGGACTTCAATCCCCTGACATCTGCTGGGAGCGCAATATAGCAATGCACAGACAATCCAGGAAGTTTTTGGAGAGAGTTGGGGACGACTAACTGGTACAAGTGCTGGAGGAACCAACTAGGGGCCGTGCGCCTCTTGACCTGCTGTTTACAAACAGGGAAGAATTGATAGGGAAAGTAGAAGTGGGTGGCAACCTGGGCAGCAGTGACCATGAGATGGTTGAGTTCAGGATCCTGACAAAAGGAAGAAAGGAGAGTAGCAAAATATGGACTCTGGACTTCAGAAAAGGAGACTTAGACTCCCTCAGGGAACTAATGGGCAGGATCCTCTGGGAGGCTAATATGAGCGGGAAAGGAGTCCAGGAGAGCTGGCTGTATTTTAAAGAAGTCTTATTGTGGTCGCAGGAACAAACCATCCCGATGTGCAGAAAGAATAGCAAATATGGCAGGCGACCAGCTTGGATTAACAGTGAAATCTTCGGTGAGCTTAAACTCAATAAGGAAGCATACAAGAAGTGGAAGTTTGGTCAGATGACTAGGGAAGAGTATAAAAATATTGCTAGAGCATGCAGGGGTGTAATCAGGAAGGCCAAGTCATAATTGGAATTGCAGCTAGCAAGGGATGTGAAAGGTAACAAGAAAGTATGCTAGCATCAAGAAGGTGGTTAGGGAAAGTGTTGGACCCTTACTGAATGGGGAGGCAACATAGTGACAGATAATGTGGAAAAAGCTGAAGTACTCAATGCTTTTTTTGCCTCGGACTTTACAGACAAGGTCAGCTCCCAGACTGCTGCACTGGGCATCACAATATGGGGAGGAGGTGAGCAGCCCTCAGTGGTGAAAGAACAGGTTAAAGACTATTTAGAAAAACTGGATGTGCACAAGTCCATGGGTCCAGATCTAATGTCTAATCCAGATCTAATCCAAGGGTGCTGAGGGAGTTGGCTGGTGTGATTGCAGAGCCATTGGCCATTATCTTTGAAAATATGTGGTGATTGGGGGAGGTCCAGGACGATTGGAAAAAGGCAAATATAGTGCCCATATTTTAAAAAGGGAAGAAAGAGAATACGGGGAACTACAGCCTCACTTCAGTCCCTGGCAAAATCATGGAGCAGGTCCTCAAGGAATCCATTTTGAAGCACTTTGAGGATAGGAAGGTGATCAGGGACAGTCAGCATGGATTCACCAAGGGCAAGTCATGCCTGACCAACCTGATTGCCTTCTATGATGAGATAACTGGCTCTGTGGATATGGGGAAAGTGGTGGATGTGATATATCTTGACTCTAGCAAATCTTTTGATACGGTCTCCCACCGTATTCTTGCCAGCAAGTTAAAGAAATATGGGCTGAATGAATGGATTTTCAGGTGGCTAGAAAGCTGGCTAGATTGCTGGGCTCAACGGGTAGTGATCAATGGCTCGATGTCTAGTTGGCAGCCGGTATCAAGCAGAGTGCCCCAGGGGTCAGTCCTGGGGCTGCTTTTGTTCAACATCTTTATTAATGATCTGGAAGATGGGATGAATTGCACCCTCAGCAAGTTCACAGATGACACTACAGTTGGGGGAGAGGTAGATTCGCTGGAGGGTAGGGATAGGGTCCAGAGTGACCTAGACAGATTGGAGGATTGGGCCAAAAGAAATCTGATGAGGTTCAACAAGGACAACTGCAGAGTCCTGCACTTAGGAAGGAAGAATTCCATGCATGGCTACAGGCTTGGGACCGACTGGCTAAGCAGCAGTTCTGCAGAAAAGGACCTGAGGATTGCAGTGGACGAGAAGCTGGGTATGAGTCAGCAGTGTGCCCTTGTTGCCTACAAGGCCAACGGCATATTGGGCTGTATTAGTAGGAGCATTGCCACCAGACTGAGGGGAAGTGATTATTCCCCTCTATTCGGCACTGGTGAGGCCACACCTGGATTATTGTGTCCAGGTTTGGTTCCCTCACTACAAAAGGGATGTGGACAAATTGGAGAGAGTCCAGAGGAGGGCAACAAAAATGATTAGGGGGCTGGGGCACATGATTTATGAGGAGAGGCTGGGGGAACTGGGGTTATTTAGGCTGCAGAAGAGATGAGTGAGGGGGGATTTCATAGCGGCCTTCACCTACCTGAAGGGGGTTCCAAAGACGATGGAGCTAGGCTGTTCTCAGTGGTGGCAGATGACAGAACAAGAAGCAATGGTCTCACATTGAAGTAGGGGAGGTCTTGGTTGGATATTCAGAAACACAATTTCACTAGGAGGGTGGTGAAGCACTGGAATGGGTTACGTAGGGAGGTGGTGGAATCTCCCTCTTAAAGGTTTTTAAGGCCTGGCTTGACAAAGCCCTGGCTGGGATAATTTAGTTGGGGATTGGTCCTGCTTTGAGCAGGGGGTTGGACTAGATGACCTCCTGAGGTCTCTTCCAACCCTAATATTCTGTGATTCTACTGGCATGCAATGGCAGACTGCTGTAGAGTGTGCCCGAGTCACCCCAACAGGAACCACTGAGGGAAAAAGTTTTCTAGCAACTATGCACAAGGTGCAGACACAGCTACAGTGGTATGGGCATGTGCAACACATCTGGAAGAACAACAGTTGTGGAAAGGTAGGTAACTGTTTTTTCATTATTTATCTGTAGGGTGCCTAAGCATGATCCCAGAGGCTTCGAGGTGTACTCACCATACAAATAATAAGAAATTAATAAAATCCTCAACATGGCAATGACAGAATGCATGTTTGCATATGAGAGCATCAAATTCCTGTACAAGACTCTTCCTTTCAGTCTCTTCTTTGCAGCACTGTGAAAATGACAGTAGTGGTTACAGCAATGCTCAGATCACAAATACTTCTTTGAGTGGCTCTGCAGATTCCCAGTTATGGGTAATGTGCTGCCCTGTGCAGCCCAATGGTAGAACCATCTCAAAGTAGTGCCCATTAAAGCGCACTAGCATCTCCAAATGTAAAGGGATGCTGCACCCTTATTTCCTCCCAACCGCTGCGCCAGATGAAAATGAACTGCTCTGTCTGGTTTGTCAGATACGGGTTTTCTCCTG